AAACTTAAATTGAAGGACAGTGACTAGTGTTGAGGAAACTTGCCAACCCACATCTTCAATGCCAGGTCAGTTTTATATAGTGCATGCATTGTAGTTCATATGAAATGTCTCTGTGCTTCTTTCTGAAGGACTATGGTGGCAGCTTTAAAGCACTAACAAAGATTACACACGGTCATCTTATCCACAGGCAGACTGGCTTGTACAACTAGGACATCAAACAGTTTCCTTTAGTTTCAAATTGAAACTGTTCACAGGACAGACTTGGATATATACGTGGGAAACTTTTAGGAAACAGCCATTTATTGTTTGATTAAATGGTGATTGTTCTGCTAATGGGCAGACAGTACACTTTTCAGCTTCTAGCCAGCCAGTCTTCACATGAGCAGATTCATACCATTGCAGTACACAGTTCATAAATAAAACTTCTACTCAAATTAACACAGGTAACTAGCAGGTTTTTGAGGCAACAAAGTCTGTGTTCTCTTCACCAAATGATGAGTCTCTCGGATTTCAGCATAATCTGACTGGCTCCTGGGTTAATGCCTACATTAAAGAATAAAAAAAAAATTCTAACATTTTACCTGATTTATGTGGAGAAATTTTAATCAAGTACCAACAAGAAAAATATACAGACTAGATATAATATCATTTAAGCAATCCAAATGCAGGGTTTGTAAACTGAATATATAATACATCCCAAGTATAAAAAATGGAAAGAAAAATAAGCTTAACCATACCTTTAGCATATCAGCTGCCTTCTTTTTCCTACGCTGTGCCATATTCCTCAGATTACAGTGAGAAGATCATCTAATAAAGGATGATTTATACAGTTTCCTACTAACGGGCACTCTGAGAGTGTTCTTTCAACATGATTAACCAAAAAATGCATGGACTGGCCCTTTGGCGACAACACTGCAAAACAAACCAAGTTAAGTTTAGTAAAAATTTTTCAAAAAATTTGGGCTTTAGAAGGCTGGACGGTATGGCTTAAGTGGTAGAGTGCCTTGTCTCTGAAAGCATGAAGTTAGAGTTTCAACAAACCCCAGTGCTTGCCAAAATTAAAAAAAAAAAAAAAAATTGGGCTTAGATTCTTGCATGGTATAGTTTAATAAGAACACTGGCTATTTCTTTATCACATAATCACTCTTCAAATCACTTAATCATTAATCAAGTATTTTTTAAAAGCCACAATTACTGGTTATTACCTTCTGTTCATCTCACTTAACATATCCCATGCTATCAAAAACTTTATCAAATATTCTAATAAGCCAAAATGCAAAAACTCCAAACATCCGTAAGTTGATGAACACATTACATAAAAATGATACATTCATTAAAAAGGAGAATACTGATTTCAAGCTGTATTTATTTATATTTATTCTATTATGAATAAACTTTAAAACACGTGATATGGAAGATGCCAGACAAAAAGGCCACATACTAGCATGTTCCTGTTTTATGAAATGTCCAAACGGAAATTCACAGAGCTGGTAGTTAGTGGACTGTTAAGTTGCAAAAATGAATAAGTACAGTAAATGAAAGATGGTTATAGAATTGGTAGTTTAGCATATGTACCAACTACAAAAGTACAACTAAAACAGCCAAATTTTAATTGATTCTATGCTACTTGAAGTTATGTCACAAACAAAAAAAAAAAAACTCTTTAGAGAGAAAAGCTAAGTTTTTGTTTCAAGACTGTAGTAATAAAACACAAAGAATTAATTTTCTACCATAAGCAAGTAAGTTAAAAAAGATTTTTGGGATAAAAGATAAGTGATATACAGAACAAAAAACATTACTTTCAAATGTGAGGTTATTCAAGAGTATCTGCGCTTTTCTTTTCTCACACATGCGGCAATAAAAATTTCTCTTACTGCTAGCAGGTTACCACAAATTAGATTAAAAGACTATTTTTCTAATAAATCACTGTACACAGCTAAATTTTTTTCTTCCTATCACTGCATGGAAATAATACACGTTCAATATGAATTAGCAACATAAAAGACATGTATGTTTTGATAATTTTCAGAGAACCAAGTTAAGTAAGTAAAAAAGGCAAGCAAAAATAATTAAAAACTACCCAAATTTAAAATTTTTGAAAAAACCACCAGTGTAGCTGGCACATGCTTGTAATCCCAAGCATTTCAGGAGGCCTAAGGCAGGAGGATCACAGAATAAGACCCAGCCTCAGCACACATAATGAGATCCCTGTGCTACAAGGCCAACAATCCTGTCTTAAAACAAAAATAATTTTTTTTATTTTTGTCAGGACTGGCAGTGAACCAGGGCCTCACCACTTGATCAGGTAAGACTCTTACACTTGAGCCACACCCTCAGTCCTTTTGCTTTTTTAGGTTTTTTGGCTAGGGTTCTCATACTAACTGCCTGGTCTGGGCCGTAGACCATTGATTCCTTCTACCTCTCCTCCCAAGAAGCTATGTGTCACAATCCTGGCTACCCATTCTTAAATAACAAGTAAAATGTGGCAAGCAGATGAAAACAAAGAATAACTCCTCCTCCCCACAGTGCTGTGATTAATCCAAGGGCCTCATGCATATCTCCAAGCCCTCTCATTTTTTATAAGCTTGTTTTCTCACTGATACATGAGGTCTTAGTAATTCTGTTAACACGTGGGACCCAGTGGCTAACCAAGAGAATGCATCTGGATTTAAAAACATGTACTTTTCAAAAAACAGATCATAGGCCTCATCCAGCAATATTCGCTGTTTGTCTATATTTATATTAATACTAACCTGTCTTAGAATATTCTTTCTGACAATAAGAAAAATATTATTGATGATCCGTTCAATAACCTCACAATCTCGCTGCTTCACGGGCAAAAGACAGATTTTCGTGCAACAGGAACTGGCTAAATGGAGTGAGAGGGAAACATTTATAAATGGCAGCATTTACATTCAAAAGTTAAGTAAGTTTTTGAGACTGTTTAGTTTCCTTTGTTCTTTGAAAGTGTTTCCCCTTTACATAATTTGTCATCTTACTAGGTTCATAAACCAAATCTCATGGCTTACCCACATCCAGCAGATTGACACAGCAGGACCTTTTGTGGACTAGCTGGCATAATTGGAATTGGTTTTTGATTTTTCTTCAGCTAATAAGCTCTTCAGCTTTTTGAAGTTGTTCAGCATTTCCTCTCCAATTGCCTGGTTGTGGTTCTTGACCACCATCTCCAATCCCCACCACCTCCAATGCAACCTGAAAAACACATTTTCCAAAACCTGTACCAACCAGAATCATATCTGACATAACCAAAGAAGTTCATTTTCTTTGAAGTAACACCACATCGGTACCTATTTAGAGTTTTACTCAGACAGATAATGGGGTTCAGAAAGAGACAGCAGAATTGCATGTGGAAGAAATCTGAGCTATCTAGTCGTAAATGAGGTTTCTTATTGAAAGTTGTTTGCAAGCGCCACAAGCCAATTCAGGTACTATTTTTATTTTTTTTTAAAATTTATCACTTGCTGAGTTTTCAAAATTTTGCTTTCTTCCACTAGATTGTGAGAAAAAGTATAAGCTGCCCTTAAAACTAAAGGGTACTCATTTAAAAGCACATACAAGGAAACACAGAACTGCATTCAGTTTAATCTCTTCAAATAATCTTAAAACACTACCTGAAACTATGAATCTCTTCCTATTAGGTCTTCTTAAAACTTAGTTTACATATTTAAAATTTAGTTTACATTCCTAATATCAACAAAAAACACCATTAAGGTAAAAGTAACAAGAAAAAAAAACCAAGACTGTATTCTTAGGCTGATTAGTCACTTTTCAGCTGCCTAAAATATTCCCTCAATGTCTATACTCCCTAAAAAATGGGAGCCTCTGAAAGTAAATCTAGTGCTACTGCAAACTATATTTTCTGGCATACGCCTTACTTGAAAATCAGTTATAAGTGGAAAAAAACATAATTCATCCACATTTTAAGAGTGGGGTTTGGTTTTGTTTTGGTTTTGTGGTACACTGCGTTTGAACTCAGGGCCTTGTGCATTGCTGGGCAGGTATCTACCACTTACAGCCATGCCTCCAGCTGTTGAGAGATAATTTCAAGATTGCTCTTTAAAGATCTTTAAAATCTTAAAAATGGGATTGTATAATTTTAAAAAAAGGAGAGATGGTAGCTATAAAAACAGTTGGCAGTTTTGGGTATCATTCTTGCAGTTGAAACACTGGCCCAAAATGTGGTCCTTGTGTATTAAAGTAAGCTACATCTGTTTGTAGGTGTAAATTACACAGTTATATAATTTTTTAATTACATATTGTTAAAATTATATTTTCAAGTAATTATTAACTAATACATGGAATTTTCAAATAAAATATTAAGGAAATGAACACATTCAGTGTAACACCATAAATAAAATAAAAAACTTATCCATATTCAATGGTTTCAGTATCTGAGCCACTGCTGGACTGAAAGAAGGTAGACGCCTGTAAGGCTTTGAGGTTTATTAATCTTAGATCTGTATAAGAAGAAAGAAGCCAAAATGGTAGAAAAAAACTGGAATAATTATACAGCTAATTTCTATTTTTAAAAGGTTATCAGGAATTGAAACACTCTTTAAACCTCATACCCCATTTGTTTGGAAATTTGCTTAAGCTTTTGAAGCCACATGTGAAGTGTATATTACATATATATGTATTAGTGAACACATACATACTAATTGAGAAACATAAAAAAAGCATTAGAGGATTATCCAATTAGTCCTGCACAAGCTCTCAGAAAATGTCCAAAAGTATAATTTCCATCTCTGAACTCTAACTTCCTACCAAAACATAAAATTTCAAAACTATTCTTGAAGGTAACAGAAAAATGGTAGGAAAGCCTATTATGTTATTAGTTTTAAAACAATATTAAAAGTACAGTAATGCCATTCTTTTACAAGGCGTTAAATAACATAAACACAGGACAACAAGAAATAGATGCCCCACTGTTACAAACAGCGTTCTTCAATGGTTTTGAACACACTGTTTCAGTGAGAACCCAAAGTACCAACATTTCCATTCTAAAGCAAGAGACTCACATTTTTAGTTTCTCTTCTGTTGTCCTGAATTAACTGTTAAAAGATATGTTAAAACATGCAATTTAACAAGCAAAATTTAAATAACAATGACTTGAAATTCAAAAGGTACAGGATAATATCCACTTTAAACTACTCCTTTTTGATGTGCGTATTCTGCATTGCAAGCAAAATAAAGTATGCAATGTAATATTTTAAAATTCTAAAAAAGATCTGATCTTAACACAGTTTCCCATATTAATATTCATCCTATTGAGTGTACTGTCACCAAAAGATTATGTTGCACCAAATAACTAGGCATGCAGGCTTAGATTAAGAATCAGAACAGACCTTGCCATCAGCCTCAGCAGAAGCAGCAGGGGAGGGCTCCTGGGAGGCAGGTGCCAAAGCACTTGGAACTTTAGAAGACTATAAAGGCAAAAAATGCAGGGGAAAAAAAAATCAAGGATGCCAAAAATGCACTCAGAAACATCTTATAAATGTGATCTTTTTCCCCTCTGTAACAAGATAGTAAAATAAAATTAAAAACAAAAATAATCACGGGAGGTAAAATTGTGTAATCTGCCTTATTTCCTATACAGTTGTCACCTTTGTTAAACGTTTTCTTCACATGAATGAATGCCTAAAACAAAAAATCCAAATCCAAAAGCTTCATTTTTATTTTTGGCATTTAATAAGAACTTCTCTGGCAAAGATTTCAAGGTAACAGATTTTACTATAACACATTTTAATGTATTAACTATTAGTTATTGTTGATAATGAAAACCTGTTATGTGCACACTGCTGTCTTCCCTCTCCAAAACCTTAAATTAGGATAAAATCACTATTAAACCTTAAGTCACTGACTGAGTTTTTAAGGAAAGAATTTTTGACACTTAAACTAACCTTTATTCCATTATTCCAAAGTGTTCTAAATACCATTACCTTTAAATTATTTGAAGCCTATTTTAAACTTGCACACCTTTACTCAAACAATTAAACAGTCCCAGTGAAGTATTAGAGAAGACAAAATCACTCCTATTACTACGTAATATTCTGAGGCTTACCAGTCCATTATTTTGGAAATTTGGAATATGCTTTAAACACTTTTTTTTTTACCTTGTCTCGTGATACAGCTGAAGGTAATTCTCTAGCTAGTCTGTTTCTCCTTTGTTCCTATAAAATGCAAAAAAAAGCAAAACAAAAGTGATTTTCATAATACTGAGATATATGCCTACTAAAAATGTTCATTTTAGTTGAAAAGTGTGGAGTAACTTACAGATATATTCTCTCACTGTTGAAACTCATGCCATAATTATATTTTAAAACAAATAAATCATTTAACCCAATGCTTCTCAATCTTTTTTCTGCCCCAACACACCTAAGGGATACAATACAATGTCAGTAACAGTGGCTTCCTTCCCAGGGATTCTCAATGGACCAACATCTTTCCCTTTCCCACTAAGTTTAGCAACATTGATTTAAACTGTCCCCACATAAATGTGGAACATAGGCATTCAGCACACTATGCAAAATTTGAAGTGCATAGGTCCCAGGAAATTAAAGCCTTAAGAATGACTCTAATCTGCACACCTTTGTATTAACTTCAGACAATTCCCACACAATAAAACCATTACTTGAGGAAGTATCTGCAGTGGAGGTTATTCTTTAAACATGTTCTATTTTCCGAATCCTAAACTGTCTCCTAGAAATAGTATTGACAACTGGTAGATCTTTTTGTAATCCAGCTAATGCAACAGACTGAACAACTGTCTATTGTTTTGCTTCTAATGACCAACTGATTTGCTTCTATTATCAAACTGGTTCAAAGTTAAAGAAGCCATGCTAAATTCAACATATACTGAGCACCTGCTACATCCAAGCACCATAATAGGTAGATACAGAATGATGTAAATGAGGGTAGTGGATCTCTTAAAGACAACACCAAATATAGTAGAAGTGTTTATTTCTAAAGTTAAAAGTCACTCTCGTTTATTTCTAAAGTTAAAAGTCACTCCTAAAATGAACACTTCTCAAGCTTGCAAAAAAACTAAGTTCACAAAGATGTCATACTTAAGATTTTTGTGGGGTTTTTTTGTTTTGCTTGAAATGTGAACCATTTTCACTTTTTCATAGTCATCCAGTGTCAAAATAACAGATAATAGAAACTTTTTTTTTTTAACAAGCCTCAGAATAAGAAGTTATCATGTTATAATGTGCTATTTTGAGAAGGATACTGAGCAAAAGGCAGGGAATCTGGAGAACAGGAATTCCCACTGTCGTGTGTTACCAACCAGTTGATAACCTTTGCTGGCTCCGACTGACTTGCTTTTGTTAACTACATAGTTAACAAATCTCCCAAAGCCTCAGTCTGCTGATCTGCTAACATACCTGCCCTCATAGGGATGTAAGCATTAAGTGATAATAGCCACACATGCTCCTTGGCATAGTCATTAAAAGCAGAATTCACTCATGAAAAATACTGATCTGAAACCATGTCACATATGACCTTGTCAGTGTAACAAAACTGCTCCAGACACAAGTTGTTTTCAATGTTACAAAAACTTAGTCTTTAAACTAAGATTTTACACAGCCTTACAAGCGTATTGGAATTTTTTGGTAGCAGGAAAAATCCCAGTTCTAGACCTAATAACTAGTTCCTAACACCTGTTAAAGAGAAGGTGCTTGTTTTCCTGTACCAATGCCCAGAAACATAAGCACAGAAGGAACAGCTATCTGTGGTCCTCCATTTTGTTATGTTTTAGCCAAAGTGTTAAAGTTGAAAAACCAGGGTCCCTTTCAATTACCAGATTCCACTTCTATAATTTTCTCTCCACCCACAAGCAGAAGAGCAAATCTGATTATAGAAGGGAACTCAGGTCTCACTGTGTAAGGAAGTAGCAGGATAACTTACTGTTCTTGGAGAAAAATAAAAAGCATCTGGATAAATTGCTCTACCCACCAGCCTTGGCTTCTTCTAAGAACTAATGAAACTTGTTACACTAACAAACATCAAACGGAAAGATCCATGCATGCATCCACCCCCATAGTGGTGAAGAGTACCCTGCTTTTTCAGAATTATGAAAAATTAGGTAGTTGTTGGAATGCTTTATTCACAGCTTTCAGAGCCAAATATGAGGAATTTTAAACATTCACTTTGTTTTATAGACCTGAACCTGAATAAACTACAACAATTACTGAAATAGAGCCAGGTAGTCCTTCAACCATAAATCAATGAATTCCCAAGTTGTTCTGTTTCACAAGCAGAAAGTAAGAAAAATTGCTCCAGGTGGCTTTGAGAATTAAATTTTAAAACACAATGTAAAGACAGCATATTTCCTGGCATGTGACAGACACTAATATGGGACATTTATTTTATAGTTACGCTATACTAAGTTTGAAATTTTCTACCTCTGAAAAACAAAGACTTGTATTTACCTCTATATTATTGTTCATTAGCCCACAAGCATCAGCAAAGTCCGGATGTTTGGTGTTGATATAAGCCAACTCAATTGCCACTAAGTTATGGACCTAGAAAAAAATAAAAGTAGGCAAAAATGTCAACCTATTTTTACTATTTATACAGACAATACTGAGAAAGTACAGTAAACTCATGTCTAAATACTTGATAATTATACTCTAAATGATAAATCTATACTAAATAACTTTTTAATTATTTATACGTTAGCATCTAAAATTGCATTTCTAGTCAGGCATCGGTGGCTCAAGCCTATAATCTTAGCTACTGAGGAGGCAGAGATCAGGAGGTTGGGAGGTTGCCAGGGCAAATAGTTTTAGAGACCATGTCTCAAATAAATCCAACACAAAAAAGGCTGGCGGAGTGGCTCAAGTGGTACAGTACCTGCCTAGCAAGTGTGAGCCCCTGCGGTTAAGGCCTACTACCTCCAAAAACTAAAGCACCTAGTTAGATATGATATTTGGCTCAAAATGTAATGGAACAGTAATCAAAAAGATGAAATTAATTTCCCTAGCCTTCTACAGCAATCCTAAGGCTTATCAAGAATCAAGTGTTTGTCTTTTTACTGTCCTGACAAGTGTCAGGTGTTAGAACTGCACTTATTGAACTGGTTGAAGAGGTTCTACTCAAATGAGGTTCCAATAACTGTGTCATCAGCAGGTAGTTTGCGATCAGGCCAGGTTTATCTTGGCTGTATCTGATAGCTAGCCTTGCCAGGCAAACAACTAAGCAGAAGACTTCTATTCTTCTAAGGGTACTTTTGTGCTTAGAAAACTCCACTGGGGCTCATCATCTTGAGTCCAGATGCATTCTGAGTGGTCAAAAAGTAACCAAAACCAGTTAGTAATTAGAGGCATAATGAAAATTTCAAATGCTTAGCTTATGTTCTTGTCAATTTCAGCTTGCTTTTTTTTTTTTATTGTTTATTTGTCATGGATGGCTGTAACCCACAGAATAGTAACAAGTAATTCTGACGTCATATTTATTTGTATTTATTTGGTCATGAAACAAGTAAACCATGGGTTGGAACAGGTCAAATCACCCTAATGTACTTCAGTTAAATTTGCTATAGACTCAATTTACTGAGGCTAAAGAAAGACTTAATTTCCCGTAAAATCAGTGACACTACATAATAGAGAAAAGTTATTCATATCCCTCAACAATGATTCTATCCTCACAAAAGATTAAATTATGAAAAAAATGGGGCCTGGTGTTGTGGCTTTCATCTGCAATCTCAACTACTTGGGAGGGAGAAATTGGGAGGATAAAGGTGTTCAACTAATAAGCCTAGGGGAGGAAATAAGTGGCAACCCCATCTCAGCAAGTTGGGCGTGGTGGTGTATGTCTGAGATGCCAGCTACATGGTAGAATGTCATTCTGAAGCCAGCTCTGGACAAAAACTCAAGACCCTACCTGAAAAATAACTAAAGCATACTGGGGCGTGGCTCAAGTGGTAGAGCACTTGCCTAGGAAGTGCAAGTCCCTGAGTTCAGACCTCAGTAGCACTCCCACCCCACCCCCAAATAAAAGAAAAATGCACTTTCTACTAGAATTACTGAAAAATTTCCTTTGAAAGACATCTGGGACAGTTTTGCCACCCAACACACTGGGAAACATTATGCATAAATGCTACATGAAAAAGCAGCCACACTTAAATTGAAGCATTACGAACTGATGAAATCGACTGTGACATAAGCTCACCATTTCATTTGTAACAGGCAGCCTTTTACGAAGAAGACAAGTCACTACTTCAACGATGGCGTCGTGAAGCTTAGGGAACCGCAACAATTCCTATATTATCATAAGGAAATAAAAACACTGCAGTCTATTCTGTTGAGTGGCAAGTTAACCACTGAAAGGCTGAATTCGATTTGGAAGTTAATTAGAATACTATTTCAAATCACTTTTAGATAAGGGAACTACAGATTTTAACTTTGGCCTGTCTTTCATATTTCCTCCCACCCTATGACACAGCCACCTCAAGTCCTTTACCTGTGTGCTGTAATTGCTACAGTGCTGAATGATCCTTTGCATCTCCTCATGAACCAATTCCACACAACGAAGGCTGGGCTCTTCAAGACGTTTGATCTGCCGTTTGACCAGTAACTCAAATGAAACCTCAGGCACAAACAGAGCAGGACGTGGACCCTAGAAATATAAAACATACAGCCATTAATAATAGCTATAAGTAATTTCAGTTCTTACCAAACGTTAAAAAATAAATCACATTTTTGGTATTTTTTCATGAAAGGTGCTTTTTCAAGTATGAGAGCAAAATAAACAATTTTAAGAAGACAAACTATATGGTTAAAAAATAAAGTTTTAACATCATTTTTAAAAAGGGCTAGAAGTTATAAGCATACTCACAGTAGCATTTCTAATGGCAGTCAAAATGTCAATAGTGTTAAGGCCACCTAGTGGGTCAACAGACTCTAAGGTTCGCCCAAAAGTCTCATGGAAAATGTAACAAATTCTAGCACCACCGCATCTGAAAGGCAGTGAATCACAGGTTACTTGCTTTACTGTAAGTAAAAGAAGCTACACATTAGAAGCCTTTCTAAAAGCTTTAAGGTAATCTCATTTCTGAGAAAGCCTTATACACAACTGTATTCCACCAATTCTCGTTTCCAAGTGTTCTGAACTTACAATCATCATGAACCAGTTTCTCTAATCTTTTTAATGGGAAAGTAGCCATTTTATAGTAGTCACGTATTTGTGTATGAAATAACTTCTGACAAAACATCCATTAACTAAAAATTGCTGAATGGCTTTTCTCTGCCTTAGTTTTCTTAACTAGTTTCTGAGCTCTTTAAAGACAGGAAATAGTGCCTATTTATTTCTTTGGATTCATAAAATCTAGAGTAGAGGTCAGTACACTTTTTTCCTTAAAGGGCCGGATAGTAAATACTTAGGCTTTTCAGGAAAAGTCTCTGCTGCAACTGCTCAACTCTGCCAATAAGAACAAGAGCACCCACAGACAATATGTAAACAAATGAGCATACCTATAAAACTAATGCACTCTGACATTTGAGTTTTATACAATTTTCAATGTCTCATTTCATTTTTATACTTAAAATTTCTGTATTTACAATGTAAAAAAATTATTCTTATCTAGGTGGCCTGCTGTCTGCCTCCTTCTGCTTTGACAAATTAAGTCTCTTGACCCAAGTGCTAGGCAAATTGTGTTTCCTATGTTGTTTAAAAACTAGAAAATCTAGAATTACCTTTTGTGTTTTTATTGAAGCCTAGCTGAACTCTACATATACCTTTATAATGTCTTAAATCACCTTTTCTGTTTTCACCACCATTATTCTATACTTTTGTATGGCAGTTTAGGCAAATGTTATGCCCTGAAAAGCACAGTCTAACATTTGCTAAGTGAACTAAGCCAAGCACAAAAGGATGCTGTGTGATCCTGTATGTGTGAAGTAGCTATAGCACACAATTCATAGAGACAAAATAAATTAGGGGTTTCCAGGGGCTGGAGAAAGGACAAACAGGGAGTAATTGCTTAAAATTCAATCTCTTTTCAGGTGATAAAAAATTTTGAAAATTATACCAGTAATGGTCGCACAACACTGCAAGTGTAATTAATGCCAATGAGTTGTGTACTGGCTGTAGGTACATCTTATGTGGTAGAGTGCCTGACCATTAAGTGCAAAACTGAGTGTCACAAAAATAAGTAAATAAAATTACCGGTAATTGTTCTCTTTGTTTCCAGTCTCTTCCTTCCCATAATGGTCTGATGTCCTTCTAAAATGGGTTACTTTTCTGACCAAAAGGGTCTTATTTTTTATAGTAAGAAGTTCTCTAAATTCTGAGCAAGATATTGAAGCTTTACAATCTTTTTCCAAGACACCCTTCCTGCCTATCTCCTATCATGGCCAAGTACACCTTGCTGTTCACAAGCCTAAAGCTCCCTTCCCCTACTTGCCTTCCCAAATTCTACTCAGAGCCCAACTCAGATGACATAACTATGGAGTTCTGCCAATCCATGAAAGAAATGTAACTGCTCTCTCCTCTGTGTCCTAGAAGCTTGATTAAGTAGACACAGAAAATTGATTCATTAAGAATTAGTCCAGCCACCTAGTCCTAGTCCAGCCTTGTATTCTTGTATTTTCTTACTACCTTGACCTGCATTATCCACTAAACTTTTTTTTCTTTTTTTTGGCGGTACTGGGGCTTGAACTCAGGGCCTCAGGCTTGCTAGGCAGGTGCTCTTACCACTTCAGTCACTCCACCAGTTCCACTAAACTTTTTTTTTGCAGTATTGGGGCTTGAACTCAGGGCCTTTACCTTGAGCCACTCCAACAGCCCAATTTTTTGTGATAGCTTTTTGAGTTAGGGACTCGTGAACTGTTTGCCTTGGCTGGCTTCAAACTGTGATCCTCCTGATCTCTGCCTCCAGAGTAGCTAGGATTATAGGCAGGAGCCACTGGTACCCGGCTCCACTAAACTTCTTAAAGGACCACTGTAGTAATCTATACTCATTATGTCATACATACAATAACCATTCAATAATTAGCTTGTTAAATACCCTATCTCGTTATGGAATTATGGAGTTAAGTCATATAAAAGAGCACCTAGGTCACACAAATGTACACAAAACTACATGTGCACAAAATGAATGCATGGTAATTACTGAAAACTGACTAACTTCTGTAGATTAATGTCCATTTTCTCATTCTGATTTTGTATTATATGTAAGATTTCGACATTGAGGGAGGCGGGAAGAAGGGTGCATAGTAACTCCTGATACATTGGTTGGCAACTTCCTGTGAGTCTATAGTTATTCCAAAACAAGTTTTTTAGTTTTTTTTTTTTTTTTAAATAAGGGTATGAGGTGGGTGAGTAGGTCAACCCCCCAAAAAAAAGATGGTGCAAAGAAATGGACATTTTTACATACTGCTAGTTGTAAAACAGTACAATATGCTAATAATATGCAATATGTAATGAGTGAGTTTGAGGATGTTATACTATACTATAGTCATTCTACTGCTAGGAATTTATCCTCAGGGTTTATTTGGATACATGCATCAAAAATAAGTGTACAACAGTCAGTAACAACTTTGTACTTACAAGGTTTCAGTTACTCAAGGTTAGCAGTGGTCCAAAAATATTAAACGGAAAGCCCCAGAGATAAATAATCCCTAAGTTTTAAATTGTGTGGGTAGTCCAGTAGTGTAATGAAATCCCACACTGTCCCACTCTGTCCTACCTGGGGTATGAGTCATCTCTTTGTCCAGTGTGTCCTCCCCATTTCAATAGCCATCTCAGTTACAAGACTGAGTGTCTTGGTATTACAGTGCTTGTGAATAGGGCTTGGTACTATCCTTCATTTCAGGCATCCACTGGGGTTCTTGGAATGTACTCCCCCCACCCCCTAAGATAAGAGGGAACCACCCTTAATTGTTAAACTATGCAATACTGGGGACCAGTTCAACAAACAAGGGTGTATCTAAAAAGTAAAATACTATGTAAACCTTCAAGCTGATAATTCAATATATACTATTAGAAAGTTGTTTGTGGCACGTTAATTTTAAAAAATCACTTCAATATAACATGTACAGCACCGGATATAAGTCTAATTCAGGCCTTTAGAGGTCCACAGAAGAGTGTCTAGGTCAATGCCACATTTCACAGGCATTACCTCTGGCTGTTGAAATTAAAGGTAGTTTTGTTTTTGTTTTATTTTCACTTATGTGCATTTCTACTTTTTCAAAATTATGCTATGTATGTTAATGAAACAACAGTCTGGGTATGTAGCTCAGTAATACAACATTTGCCTAGCATATGCAAGGCCTTGGGTTCAAGCCCCAGCACTACAAAAAAGAAAATGTTTAAAAAGCTAAATTAAGTATTTTAGAGCTTGGTATGGTGATTCATTCCTATATTCCCAGATACATGGGAGGCTAAGGCAGAAGGATCATGAGTTTGAGGACAGCCTGGGCAACAAAGTGAGACTCTTGTCTCAAGGAAAAAAAATACATTAATATGCATATGCTTATATATAAATTGAGTAAAATATTGCTTTTAAAAAACCTCAGATCTTTAGTATGTCTTATAAAGCATAATAGTTTAGGGGCATGGCCAAGGCCTGTGTTCAATCCCCGGTACAGCAAAAAATAAATACAATAAACCATGATAGTTTATAGAGTACGTAGTTTATAAAACATCTCATAGTACATAGCACATAGTTTATAAGGCATTTTACATATATTCCATTCATCCTTCTATCATTTCTATAAGTTATATTCCTATTTAACAGATAGTAAGTCACAATCAGATAATCTCTAAGATTACTTTAAGAAATGATAACGTGACCTTGCTTGCTAAACATGTAACCAAATCTTTACAAAATTCTCTTACTTACAGCTCTGAAGTTTCAATGTATTTTGCGGTTCCTTCAATAGTGTTACAATATTCTGTGGCAAATTTGGTAATGAGCTGGAGTAAAGTAGCACTTTTATCATCCACAGGTTCACCATAGCTATTTAGAAGAGACTGATACTGAGCAGCTAGAACATTTATTCTTGTTTTCAACTCTGGTAAGCAATCTCTGATGTGATGCATCAGTAGCCTAACAAATATTAGAAAAGCAAGAACTTAATGTAAAATTATGTATTCTGACACTCTAAGCAAGTCAAAAATCTTAAAAGTACAAATAAAGGGAAAAATGTCAATTTATCTTGGCAGGTGTGTTATGGAATACACACACATATATATGCATATGGCTTTCATCCACATTTCCTGGTACTCAGTTACTCAAATCCTTGAAATGGCTTTCCAGAGTATTAAGATGTCTTTTGCTCACTAATGACAGGACTAGCCCCTAAACTACAGATGGAAGCTGGCCACCAGAGACTAGAAACGATTAGAGGGTTGGGACATTCAGCCCCAGTCTCCAGCCTCTGAACAGAGACTGATAGTTGAGTTGATTACCAGTGGTCAGTGATGGAATCAACAATGTCTATGTAGTGAAGATGCCATGAAAACTTAAAAGGACAGTGATCATGAAGCTGAACACATCTAAGTTTCTAGAGTGTGGTATGCCCAGAGGGTATGTAAGCTGTGGTGACCCCTTCCTTCTATATTCCATATGCCTTGCCTTATCCATCTCTTCCAACTGGTTCATCTGTATCCCTTGTAATATCTTTTATAATAAAATGGTAAACATAAGAAAAGTGTTCCCTGAATCCTGTGACCCACTCTAGGAGGTTAATTAAACCCAAGGGATGGATTGTGGGAAGCTGAATTTGTAGCCAGTCAGATTTTAAGCACAGGCCAGAACCTGTGCTGGCAACTGACATCTGAAGTGGAAGGGCAGTCTTATGGAACTGAGCCCTCAACCTGTGGGACCTGATGCTATCTCCAAGGTAAACAGTATCAGAACTGAACTGAGTTAAAGGACACCCAGTGAGAATCCACTGAACTGCCTAGATGGTGTATGGAAAAACCTCACAGACATACAGTGTCAGTAGCATTCTCTGCTCTATTGAATGACTATATAAAAATAAGAAAAAAACCCCACTTCAGTTGGTTTGTCCTATATCACAAGAACAGGAAATAAAGTGATCTTAGATTACGAGTGAACACTTAAGTCTGAAAAAAATGACATAAAGGAAGCTGAATGGGTCAATGCTTTTGACATCTTTCTTCACCCTATCAAACTGTAAGAGAACCAAATATAAGATGAAAAAAAAAGCTAATTATTTTCATATTATTGCAATTTTACCACAATGAATATAAGCCATTCAGTTCAATTCTACCTATATAATTTTGGTTTTATCAAACTTATCTTTTATAATAGATATTCCCAGCACAGTATAAATCCATCTTATTAATATCGACATCCATCTGCCTTTAATTTAAGAAATAAGACAAAACTGGAGAAAATGGCTTTCACCCTAGTCATTTATAAATCATCTATAAAGGTCTTCTAGTTCTTACACCATCAGTGGGTACTCAGAATACAAGGTATACAACTTACATTTTTTTTCTAGTATGAATAGGAATAAACAAAATTCTAATATAAAATAGATTATGTGAAAATTATTCAGTTTCTGAATTAAACTCATCTGATATAACGCTGCAACTAAATTAACTGTCAAAAACTTCCCTTTTTTGTGATGGGCTTTTTTGAGACAGAGTCTTGTGGAACTATTTGCCCGCACTAGCTTCGAACCACGATCCTCCTGATCTCTGCCTCCTGAGTAGCTAGGATTACAGGCATGAGCCACTGGCACCCAGCTAAAAACTTCTGGGCACCAGAGGCTCACGCCTCTAAATCCTAGCCACTAGGGAGGCTGATAGATGAAGGATCACGATTCAAGGCCAGCATAGGGAAACAGTTCAGTTCGTGAGACCCACATCTCCAAAAATAACTACAGTAAAATGGACTGGAGGTATGGCTCAAGTGGCAGCGTGAAGCCCTGAATTCAAACCTCAATTCCAGCAAAAAAGAAAAGAAAATTTTTTAATCATTTGAGCATTCTAGACTACACCTCAATAAAAAGAGACATTTATTTTACAAGAACCTATATAAAGAAACCAGAAGTGAAACTCAAAAAAATAGTGTAAAACATAAGGAACTGAACAAAACAGTCTCAGACACTTGTTGGCAAAACCAAAACATCTCATTTTCAAAAGGTGAGAAATATTACCTGTTCAGGGTGCGAGCAAGATACTTTGTTCCATTTCTGTTGGCCAGAGATGGGTATTTCTTTTGAAGAAAAGCATATTCATCACGGATTGAATCAGTTACACTCTTCTTATTATTAATATCTAGCTGGCTCCTATGGTTGAAAAATGACAAAACTATTCAACTAAAACCAACTGCCATCCTCTTTCCTACCCTAGATGACGATGGGGATATTGTTAGCACCAGGTACCGTTCCTTAATACCTGACATGGATTGTTTTATTTAATTCTCATAATAACTCTATGTGATATTTTTTCCATTTTCTAACAAGGAATTGAGGTTCCAAGAGATTAACTTAGCCAAGGCCACACATTAACTAGCATAGCCAAGATTTTACTATATGACTTAAGAGTAATTAAGGCCTGAATAGTGCAGGCCTCAGTCTCATCAACTATACTCAAAAGCAGTATTTTTCTATTAGTATATGTTAATTGTACAAAGGGGCTTCAATTGTGGTATTTCCAAATATGCATATAATTTAATTTGTTCAAATTCATCCCCTCTAGTTACTCTTTCCCCTTTCCCCCTCAAAAGCAGTATTCTTTTTTTTTTTTGGTGCTGGGATCGAACCCAGGGCCTCACGCATGCTAGGCAAGTGCTGTACCACAGAGCTACATCCCAGCCCAAAAAGCAGTATTCTTAAGTAATGGTTTTAGACAGGTACAAAAATATAAGTGTATCTTAATCAGCTAAATTTTATACATGGGTAGACAACTGATGTCCATCAAAAATGATACAGTTAACTTGAACAGCAATCATCTACAAATATAAAAAGCAGTGTTATAGAGTTTCCCAGCTTTCATTAAATTGCAGTGATTCCTACCACCTAAAAGCTTTGGACTAAGAGAGATGATTATCTGAATCCAGTTCTACCTTTCACTAGCCATGTGACTTTGGTAAATGTATAGTCTTAGTTTCCAATTATAAAATAGACATCAACACATACCTCCCGAGATGTAAGAATTCCAAGAGATACCATTAGCAAATTGTTCACCATAGGGTGTCTAAAATATAAGTAGACACTCAAGAATAGTTAACTTACTTTCTACATTCTTTTTTTAATACCAGCTTTGGTTTTTTTGTTGTTTTTTTGTTTGTTTGGTTTTTGGTTTTTATTGCAGTACTGGGGTTTGAACTCAGGGCCTACACCTTAAGCCACTCCTCAAAGCCATTTTTGGAATGGTTTCTTTCGAGATAGGGTCTCTTGAACCATTTGCCCAGGCTGGCTTCAAACCACGTTCCTCCTGATCTCTGCCTCCTAAGTAGCTAAGATTACAGGCGTGAGCCACTAGCACCCAGCTCATACCAGCTATTTATAATTAGGATTTAATAGCATTTCTTCAACTTATATCCTGGCAATTACACAGCATCACGAATGGTGGGGGTTAAACTAATCTAGATTTTAAACCTACCACCTTAAACTATCTTGATTGGGTACAAATTAGAGAATGTGTTTTTTTTCCATTACCCAGTGCCCTTCTCACACATAGCTTAAATAACAGGCAAGAATTAAAGCATGGCTATTAAAGTATATTCCATTTTGTAGCATTGCTTACTTTAGAAATATTTTCCATTAAAAATATCTGAGAGGCTTTACTTTGTCTCTTATCTCTCTTTAAGCGATGAATTCTTCAGCAATGCCACCATCATAGTAGAAATGAGAAAAATACAATAGTGTTACATTTCAGACTGACTTTTAGAAATTCAGACTTTGCAATGAAAATGCTATAATTCTTATCTCATTTTTGATTGCTAACCTGTTAACTACTCCAATTATTCCAAGTTTGACTGGAATAACCCTTCCCATCAATACATCCATGGCATCAGTACCCGCATCCATGAGATCAAGTTTAGTGATTACAGCTAGGGTTCTTCGACCTGGTGAATATGAAAAGAAAGAAAATGATCCATTAAATAAACCCTTAAGTATTAGTAGAAGAAAATCTTTCATTTATAATTATGCCTAACACATTACCTCTTTTATCACTTTGGTAATACTTTTCTAACCTTTGCTTACAAATACCTTTTTCTTTTTTGCAGTACTGGGGTTTGAACTTAGGGCCTCACTCTTGCTAGGCAGGTGCTCTACTACTTGAATCATGCCGCCAGCCCTAAAAACTAATTTTAAAAATGTTAAAAAATGTTTTTAGAGTCTCTGCTCCCATTTCCTGCATGGGGAACAGGAAATGTTTCTTTCTTTCTCTCCCCACCCCCCACCTTGTCTATACTTTATTCTATTACACTAAAATAAATCTTTGCTAAAACTTTTTTTAAAAAGTTTTCATATGTGATTTTTTTTAATTACCTTTTAGAGCTAATCTTTTTCTAAGCATTTTTAACATTTGTTTAAAATTAACTTTTTTGGTATACATTTTTTTGGGGATTGTTTGCTTTGTTTTGTTTTTGGCAGTACTAGTGATCAAACCCAGGGCTTCAAGCATGCTAAGAAGCAACTATAGCACTGAGCTACAGTCCTAACCCCCACTTCTATTATTTTTGACAGTTGCAAACACATGTATCACTACTACCTCAAAACAGAAGAGATCCATTGCCCACCCAGCTCCACAAATTTTCTTGTGCTAAACAGTCTAACGTTTTCTAGTCCTAGTTTTGCCTTTTCTAGAAAGTTATAAAAATGGAATCATACCATACATAGCCTTTTCAGTCTGGCATCTTTCATTAGTATAATGCATCTGAAAGCCATCCATGTTGTAATATCAAATAATTCAGCTCTTTTTATTGCCAAGTAGTATTCCATTGTATGGAGGTACCATAGTTTGGTTATACATTCCCCACTTAAGAAACACTGGAATTGTTTCTAGCTTTCGTAAAACCAGGTAAAGTTGCTATAGACATTTGCAAACAGGGTTTTTGGTTTGGTTTGATTTGTCTTTCTTGAGACAGGGTCTCCCTATGTAGCCTAGGGTGGTGGCCTTGAACACATGATCCTCCTCCTGCCTCAGCACCCAGAGTGCTGAGATTATAGATGTGTGCCACCACACCTGGATACATACAGATTTTTATATGAATATTTAACATGGGTAAATACATAGAAATAGGATTGCTGATTTAACTTTCTAAAAAATTCCCACAGTATTTCCCAAAGTAGCTACACCATTCCTACCATTAATATAAAAGTTACAGCTGTTCTACAGTTTTACATAGGGCATTTTTCAATTATAAACATTTTTCTATATTTCTCCAAATCTATAAAATCATCCCTTTAAATTATTTCCTATTTTAACATCATAATTTACTTATTGCTAGCCATATTAAATTGCTTCTAAATTTTTGATACCATAAATAATACCGGGTTGGATTATTTCCTTAATATATTACCAGATTAAGACTATAATACCAAAAGCGTATCCATATTTATGGCTTAAGGATCAATTTTCAAAATTTTTTGCTCCTGGGGAATTGAGGACCTCACACTCTGACAATGATCTAGCTACACCCCTAACCCCTATGGTCAAGGATCAATTGAAAGAATACATATAAAATGCTTAACAGTTAAGTCAGGTCTTTTAATCTAACTGAAATGGACATTACTCATATAGTAAAAAAGTTTACTTAAAAACTTAAAATTACTCTGCTTATAAGAATTTTAATTAGCAATCTTAGCATTAACATTTCCTATCAGATTTTATTTGAAATTCTTCTTCAAAGCAGGAAAAGAAAAATATGATACAGCCTTAAGACTCTCTAAATACTCAAGTGAAAATAATTGGTTTCTTTATGGGGCAAACATGAAGAGCAACAAGAGCCACTTAAATATAAGCTAGCCATTTTATGTGGACTATGAGATGTCCCTACAATATAAGTCGAGTATCACTGGCCAACAGTATGAACTAATTCTTGGGGTTATGAATGGTTCATAAAAGGATTTTACCTTTATTTCTACAAATGCCCTGTGCCTTGACCATGCCTAAATGTCATCTATCTCTGTAGAATGGAGATATCATAATTCTTTCTTGTACCATAATAATCTACAATGATTGCCTACTATGAGTTATTTATTTTTAAAACTTGGCCATTCAGGTTGGACTTGAGTCACATGATAAGGGGAGAGCACATGTGGGAAGTAAGGGGATAGGTAAGAAACCCAAAACATGAAAGTATTTGATGTCCCCACTGCAGAGGAACTAATACTGAAACCTTAAAGCGAAAGATGTCAATATGAGAAGGGGATCAGGAACTAGTGAAAAGGTCAGTTAGATATGAATCAACTTGGGTTGTAACACATTTGTACATGCAAGCAATGCTAGGAATCTCTCTGTATAGCTATCCTTATCTCAACTAGCAAAAACGCATTGTCTTTCTTATTATTGCTTGTGTTTTCTCTTCAACAAAATTAGAGATAAGGGCAGAAACAGGTTCTGCCTGGAAGCAATGGGGGTGGGGTGGGGAGGGGGAGGGGGAGGGGTAAGAAATGGCCCAAACAATGTATGCACATGTGAATAAATTTAAAAATAAATAAATAAATAAAACTTGGCCATTCAAAAACCTACATTGTTTTATTTGCACAAAACAGAAACTTTTTCAAAGCCATTTTATTATGCTAACATTAGGTAATTATCACAAATACATGTTTTGTGAAGTTTTTTTGCCTACCCTGTTTACCAATTTAACCATTTTTCATCAGAATTTCTATCTGAAATTATAAACAAAGTAGGAAAGCATTATTTTTAAAATCTGTATTAATAAGAGATATTACTTTTAAAAGTCAATTTTCCTTTCTTTAGGGTAGATTTACCATCATTTGTCCTTACCATCTGGATCTACCTCTCTTGAAATTTTAAGTGCCTCTGATGTTGCCATATCTGTATTAGCAGCAGTGACAGCAAGGATAATGGAATTGGGATTACTGATGAATCGAAGAATGAGCTCTCTGATTTGAAGCTCAATATCCTTAGGTTGATCACCTACAGGCACCTAAACCAAAGAAATAAGCAAGAAACTAATAATAAAAATCAACTCAGCTTTTTCCCCCATTTAATCCACAGAAAATAGATATTTCTCCATTTACAAATAGTTAAAGAAATTAATAATATATTACAGTGGTATTGGTGAATTTGTTAAGGTCGAAAGTCTCAAAATGTAATGCTTGCAAATATCAAAAGTTTACTTCTGCATAAATGTTTACTGAACACAATCCTATGTTAAGGACTGATCAGTATTAACTTCCTAGAGACAAATTCACTCATTCATTCATCACATGTTAACTGGAAGCCTACTACATTTCAGGCATTCTTCTATCTGTCAGATTTTGTTACAGTAATGAATTTAAAGAAAACCAAACTTCCTGCCTCCTAAAGCTTATTTATTAATGATAAGAAGCAGAATCAATGAATATATATATATATTCATGTGTATGTGTACACACATACACATATTCATATACTATTCAGGTGGTAGAAAGGTCTATAGAAAAAACAATGCAGAATGCAGAACAAGAGGCTAGGGAATGACTTTAGAGACTATGTTTTTAAAATTATTGTTTTAAATTAGATTATGCTTTCAAATAGAATAATCAAGGAAGACCTTACTGAGAGTATGACATCTGAGAGACTAAGCAGAAAGTAAAGGCAATGAGAGAGAGGTAAATACAGGTATCTGCTAGGCTGAGTGAGTAATAAAGGTAGGAAGCTTGAGCAGATATTAGGAGAATAATGGGGACATATCAAGTAGATACTTTAGATCTCTATAAGAACTTAGGCTTGTACTTTCAGTGAAATGGGAAGCACTGCAGAGATTTTGAGCCAAGAAATGATACAATCTAATTTCACTTTATAGACTCACTGTAGTTGCTTAATTAAGAACAGATGAGGAAGACCTGTTATTTATCCTATGATTATTACACTAATTCAGGTGAAATGACAGTGGTTGGCTCAGCTATGAATCTGTAAGAGGTTGCAGAGTTTTGGATGTATTAGAAAGGTAAGGAAAGCCAGGAAGATTTTGCTAACAGGAAGAGGAATGAGGGATACAGAAGTGTCAAGGATGACTATAAACTTATTGAATAAGCAATTGGTAGAAATGAGTTGCCATTTATTGAGATGGTGAAGACTATAAAAGGAGTAAGTCTAGTTGAAGGACCGGTCAGGAACTTGTCATTAGATACATCAAGTTTGAAATGCCTACTAGATATTGAAGTATATATGCCAAAAGTGGATAATATTTGGTGGATACACAGGTCTGGCGCTATCTGAATGTAACGACATACAGAAATTCATGTATTTAAAAACTAAAATTTGATAGGCTTATCATGGGGTGAAGTGTTCCTAAAGACAACAAGAGGCCCAAAGACTGAGCCTGAGGACACTCACGGTTTAGACCTTAAAGAAATAAGAAGAAACCAATAAAAGAGATTAAAAGTGAGTGGCTAGTGAAATATGAAATATAACTGTAGAAACCAAGTAAAGAAAGGGTCTCAAGGAGACAGAAGGGCTCAGCTATATCAAGTACTATACAAGTGTGATTGCAAAAGGCAGCTGATTCTTCTCATTTGGGGTTAAAGAAAAACCACCTTTTTTAAAAAACCACATTTGTTTAAATGAAAACATGATTAAATCCACAATGAATAACTATTCCTCACCTTGGTCATTCCTGGTAAATCCACAAGTGTCAGATTGACAACATTGGGTGAAAAAATCTTAAGATGAATTGGTTCAGGGCTTACTCCCTAAAAATAAGTTTTAAAATATATTAAAATCATATTAAAATGTCAATGAAGAAATGCTAAAATAAATTTCATTTTTAAGGACACTTTAGATGCTTTTAAGTATAAATTAAATAAGCCATGATTCCTAAAACTGTTCAATTACACTAAGTATTATTCCTAAAGCATTCCTAATGAAATACAGCCAGATACACAATAGGTAAACAATGATATTATTTATAATTATAAACAAAATTCACACAATTTATTTTCTCTGTATTATTTCACTCTCCCCACCCTTTTTTTTTTCTTTTTTTTTTTGCAGTACTGGGGTTTGAACTCAGGACTTCATGCTTGCTAAGCAGGTGCTCTGTTGCTTGAGCCATGCCTCCAGCCCAAAATTTTATTATGATCTTTTTTTGGACTTTTGTTTTTTGTTGTTACTGGGGTTTGAACTCTGGAGTTCAAGCTTGCTAAGCAGGAACTCTACCACTTGAGCCCTTCTTTTCTCTTGATTCTATACATGTTCCATTTCTTAAACATGTTTAATAGACTTAGTAATGAACAAAATAAGAATTTATTCCTCACTATCCAAACTTATGATGTTCCTGAGTTGAGAAAGTAAGAAACTGTTCAAATCAATTTGGTTCCTGATCTTTGATTATCAAGTGGCAAGAGTATGTATATTAAGAGTTTTCTCAGACACTTTATCTAAATTTTTAGATTCCTAAATTCAAATGGTAAGAATATGAATAGGTATACCTGTACTTTTTCTTCCATAGACTAAGATTATTTCTTCACCACTGGCCTTAGGACTGAGTCAGTAACATGTAAAAGGACACTTAGGAAATGGTCATACCCTGTCTTTGTACAATCTCTTCTTCATCCTTTAATATGTCATCTTATCTAGTTAAGACACATTACATTTTCCTTCATTAACCCACTGAAAAGTCTTACTTCCCAGGAAGCTGTCTTGGAACATTCTTTACTCTGAGTTCCCTAAACAATTACATTTGCTACATTAGATTACCCTGAACTATTTTTCTGTTTTAAATAACTAAGGTTCCAAAGTCATTAGATGTCATCATCTGACACACCCAGGTTATACTGTTCCTCAGGATCTTTATTGCCATAGTATTCTCCTATTATGTACAATTCAAAAGCATTGCCTACATACATTTACAACTACAATCTTAAAACTGGTTTAACTCCTTCAGGGCTTTATGTTAGGCATATGAAATCATTTATCTATTCAAACATACAAAATTACATAAGTTCATAGTATGTATTTCATTACGGACATGACTTAGGAAAGAACATATTTTTCATGATTTGAGGTTGGCAGACTTTTCATGTTTTAGACGCTGTGTATGAAAACCTACAAGGTAAGCAAATTATACCTCAGCATAAGGTATTATAGGCATATGAACTTGATCTTTCATGACATTTTAGTATAATTAAAACCTTTCATTTCTGAATCACCAATCTCATACGCTCTTTCTAACACTGTGTCTATCAGATGCTGAGTTGACTAAATACATAAAGATTGCAAGAAAGGAAATTCAGATTAGTGTTACGATTAATAATATCCCATAACCAAAGTTATCCCTGATATAATCTAGTTTCTGGCCCCTTGTTCTACCTCTTCTATGCAACATGGTACTAGAAATTCAGGGAAGTATGGCAACAGTAGCAGTAACTCAAAGGTTATCACCTTAGACTTAAATAATGAACAAAAACACAATCATTAAAAGAGACAAATGTCATGAGCAGCATAAAAACTTAACAGGGCTACAAAGTGTCTGTCAGGAATTAACTCCATCAACACAGTATCTGATAGATGCAGGGCTCAATAAAAATGTTTTGAATATTAGTACTAGCTAGGGCCCACTTGGAATAAATGTGCCTCTGGATAATACAGAGTAGAAGTAAAACTGAAAAGAAAAGAAACAGAAAAACAATAGAAATAAAGAAAGGAGATAAAAAAGGATTTAAGAAAGGTGGTGATAGTGCCTGGTGTTAAAATCAATATATTTTAGATACTTAATTTAAATTCTCACAATCTTAGAAAATAAGAAAGCAATCAGTTGTTAATGTTTTACTTTTTGACTTTAAAAAAAACTTTGTTTTAAAAAGTAAACTTTGCATTATTTAGGTAAGAAAAAATAGCTCTTCAAAATACATGTATCTTTTTTTTTTTTTTGCGGTACTGGAGTTTGAACTCAGGGCCTCAAGCTTGCTAGGCAGGCACTCTACTACTTGAGCCACTCCTCCAGCTCAAAATACATGTATCTTATAAGTTATATAACGCTTCCTGAGTTGGAGTACAATTAGTCCATCAGATAAAGGTATCTTGTGTTGCAGTGGTGACCCCAGTGGTAGAGGACCTGCCTTGAAAGCCCTGAGTTTAAACCTCAATACTGCTTTAAAAAAAAAGAAAGAAAGAAAGAAGTACTCACTACAGCTCACTAGATAGACTAATTATAAAACAAAATGCAGTGTACATGACAGGATCAAGAAAAAAAGATAAGCCAGGTACAATGGCTCATGCCTCCATCTACTCGGGAGATAGAGATCAGGAGGATCACAGTATGAGGCCAGTCAGGGCAAAAAACTTCACAAGACCCCTCTCAAAAACAAGCCAGGCCAGGTGTGTTCTGTCAGTGGTGCAGAATCATGGTTCCAGGCTGGCCTGGGCAAAAAGTGAGACCCTATCTGAAAAATAACCTAAAAGGGCTTGAGAGACAGCTCAAGTGGTAGAATGCCTACATAGCAAGTACAAGGCCCTGAGTTCAAACTCCAGTACTACCCAAAAAAAGAAAAGGGAAAAAATATATAAATGAAACATGACATAAATTAAAGTCCTAAGAAACAAAGGTTTTTTTGTTTGGTTGGTTGATTTGCTTTTTTTTCCCCCATGGTGCTGGGGATCACACTCAAGGACTTACACATGCTAAGCAAGTGCTCTACCCACTGAGGTCACACTCCATCCCTTGGTTTTTTGAGACACAGTCTCACTGTGTAGCCCAGGCTGGCCTCCTGCCTCTACTTCCTGAGTGCCAGGATTACAAGTGTGTGCCAACATGCCAGTGCTAAAATGAATTTTTAAGCAAAGTTTTTATATGTTTGTGAAAATACTCCATTTGTTTCAAAGATCAAGATTATGAATTTACAATGTCCTTCATATATTATGTACAGAAAATCCTCAATTATATATTTACCAATGTTTATGTCTTCTAGGTCAAAAAGATGCCTACCTTATTATTTCCTGAAATTCTTTCTGTTTCATTTTCAATTTCTTGTCGAATTTCATCAAAATCTGTGTAGAGCTAAAAATTATTAAAACAAAAGCCACAATATTCAAATTAAAATCAAAAGTTCTTAAGTGGGGGCCAGGGGAATCCACACATTTCAACAATGTCTACGGATTTCTTTCAGAGCATTAGGAAACAAATTCAAATGTATGTATGTATTTTCTGAGCCAAGGACTCATAGTTTTTGAGATGTTCAAAGTTGCTTGGTCTTACAACACTTAAGTATCTCCATATTACAGAGAAGCAGATTCAATTTAAAGTTTATTTACCAAATAAACTAATGTGGTTAGAAATGTTACTGTTTCAAGGAATAGTTACTTCAAAATAACATCACACATTGCCAATGATGAGAAGCTAAATTATCTACTACTATTACAAAGTATTATTTTCAAACATGTTGTTTCTTCATTGTATTCTTGATTACCTTATTTTTGGTGTGAAGAAATTTACCCCATTCTTCTGCTTCTACTCCTAGAAAAAGAAAAACTTTTTTATTGGAAACTATGGAAATTACTTTTTATGGTTAATTAGGAATTCAAAAAGGCATTGCAATAAATCATTATTCCTATTTTGCCACTAACTACAGTTAACAAATGTTCTAAGATCTGCTAAATTATACATTTCACATTTAAAAAATTGTGTCATGTATTTCAAAAACATGGCTAACTTCAGGTAGTTGCTCACATCTTCCCACCATCTGAAATCTAGATTTTACAGATAAAAGGGTTCACTATTTTTTAATTATATTACACTAAAAGGTAAATTCTTTAAACATCTTTTATATCAAGTTAGTCTACCTGATTAAAATAATTAAGTTAATGGCTAAGAAGAAAAATTAAGAATCCCACTGAGTAAGGCAAAAAGCATATATAACAGATTTGTACATATTACACAAGGTAAAAATTTGTAATTCGCGAATGAAATAGCTAATTTTTCAGTTTTGTTGGTTTATTTAAGTGGTTTCCTTGTGCTACCTATATACAGTCATAACTTGCTGCTCTTTTAAAAGAGCTCTCTTGCTGGGTACCCATGCGTGACTCACAGCTATAATTCTAGCTACTTGGGAGACTGTGATAGGGAGGATCTTGGTTCAAGGCCACCCAGGCAAATAGCAAAACCCCATCTCCAAAAGAACCACAGCAAAATGGGCTGGAGGTATGTCTCAAGTGGTAGTGTACCTGCTTTGTAAGCATGAAGTGCTAAGTTAAAAACCCCAGTCCCACTTCTCAACACCCACCATAAAAAGGTTCCTCAGTAGTATGGAACTAGCTATATTGTACAGTTTCAAGATTTCCCCCCAAGGTCAAGGCTATGTTTCCCTTGGAATTGGAGGTAGGAAAGAAATGAAATGGGAAAAGAAAAAAAAAAAATCCCTGGTATATGCACTGTATGGAGTTGACACTCTCCATTAGTTTCAATCATAGGTCTGTTTCTCCTGCACTTGCTGAAAAAAGGAAAATATATTCACCACCTGTACTGTGAAGTAGTATTAGAAAATTTGAAAAGCAAGTTTTGTTGTTTTACCCAGAGAAACTAGAAATGTTTAATTGTAGAAAGGTAATCTAACTTTACCTCTCCCAAGCACAGCTATTTTGCCTTTGCCAAATTCAGAGAAGTTTAAAATATCTTAATGATTAATAAGAGTATTGAATAATGCATATCAGCCACCTGAAATCAAAATAAAAATGATGGTAAGATATTAATGTAAATATTTTTCAAGGAAAAGGTGGATCATTTCTTTGGTGGAATAAAGGTAAATAAAACTGGATCCTTTTTTTTGCAAGTAAAATGCTCACCTACTTGAAGCTTAGTACCTTCTTCCAAGAAGTCTCATTGGAGGACTGGAGTAATCTAGGTGAACAGAACTCACAAAGGCAGTACTACATACCAAAGGGGTGTCTGTAATTTACCTTATGTAAAAAGACCTAGCTTCACAAGCATATTTTTTAAAATAAAAATAAAAATAAAATAAAATACATTCACCACCAAAAAAGCTTGCATTTTGATGCAATGCCAAAAAAGATAATAAGAACCACTAAAACCTGCAATTGATGTGGACAGTCAAATAAAAATGGAAGAAAAAAATGCACACAGCCTGTAAGAGTACATAAGCACACATGCAGGCATAATAGAAAAAGAAGGGCCAAAAACAAATGGATAAAGGAAACCTTTAGAAAGGTGTCTTGAGTTTTTCCATGTAGCAGGGTCTGTAGTTAAAGAGAAACAGCACAGAATGATAAGTTTAGTGCTTATCCCTAAAATTTTAAACTTAAAAAAAAAAATCATTGTCCAGAAACACGATCACATTTCAAATGCACACAGCATTCGGCTACTCAAAATTTACAACTAGAATTAGAGGAATGTATATATTTTTAAATAACATAAGCAAAGTATATTGTGTACCATGCTTTATTTTTCAACATTTTAAGAAAACAAATTTCCCATTACAATTGTACCACCTTTGTTTCTAATTCTAAATGTTTAAAAATTAGTCCACTATTAAAACTTTTGCCTGAGAGATTCAATAACCTACTGTGGGAAAAGATAAATTGTCTGGTAGAAAACAGTTTTCAAAATATACTAAGCACATCTTTCACAACCGTAAGAATTAGTAAGTATATGCAACTATTTACCCTGTTAGCCAAGACTGACCTTAATAAGGGTCCTTGAAATATATATTGAACTTAATAGAACACCTTCGAAAGTTAACTCTTCACCTTCATGAACTCAATCCAAAGGGAGTCTACTACTTGTTATCACAGCATCTTATGCAGAAAGATTAATCCTCCCTTTTCTTCTTTCATTCTTCACCACTTTTTGATGCTAACTACATGGTTTTATAATTGGATAAGGAAGTAGGGGTAAAAATTCAAACTACATCCAGATTTTTAAACACTGTTCTATAAAACACACACACATTATATATATTTGTATTTAAGAAAGATAACAAAACCAAAAACCTTTTCTTTAGTTCATAAACTTCTCTCCACAAGTAAACCTTTATAATTTTTTCAAGTTTCCAAGTACATTGTTCAGAGGTATAATATATAGCACAATTTTGACCTTTAACTAGCATGCCACTTTTGGATTTCATCTAAAAGGAAAGCTGATAAAAACCTGACTTATTTCTTCTAAATATATGAAAGATAACATGGAGTTCAAAGTTCAAACTAAATCATACCACTCTAGTACATAGTTTAATTTTGTTCTTGATAAGAATTTAATGGAAAGTTCTTTTAAATTGGCAAGGGGAGGCAAACTGAGAATACCATAAATCTACATATTGACATTTTTTCTGATAAATTGTATAAACACTAAAATATCTTAACCAGTTTTGATAGACCTGTATCTAAAATGTATTTACTTCTCCATCTCATCTTAGAATATACTGTTCTTAACCTATCATTGGCAGCTTAGGCTTCTGTTACATAACTAAGCCCTTATAGGCTTAGGCTTTATTTATATATATAAAAAGGTTTTGGTTTTGCTTTTTTGCTTTTTTTTTTTTTTGGTGGTACTAGGGTCTTGTTTTTTTGTTTTGTTTCATTTTGTTTTTGTTTGCTAAAGGTTCTCCATCTAGTCTCATTGTCAGGATGAAGGATAGTTATACTCCTTTACCTAAACTATATTTGCATCTGCTTCATGGTTTCTAACTTCCTCTGGGTTACTGTGACTTATGGTAAGCTAGAATTGCTTATCCCCAGAAGAAAGTGGCTCTGATGAGAAGCTAAAGAATCCTTCTAGAATAAAACATGAAATTTAGTACTTACATTTATGAAATCTATTTTGTGTTCTATAGCTCAGTTTTCATGTTAAGTGGAGGAGGGTGTGTGATATATATTATACTTACACACACACATAAATAAGCACCAAGCTCAGGAAAAATATACACGCAGGTAAAGACGTGCAGATTTGCTGACACACCCATCAATACATATCAACAAAACACAGTGGACACACAAGCAAAGAGATAGCATGTCTATAGCTGAGATGTATACCCTTTCCTAACAAGCAAAGTTTCATCTCAGGAAACATGGGCTACATCTGCTGATAGTTTCTAAGAGACATCTTCCCTTTCAAAATGACTGAAGAAAATAAAAAGGCTAACAAAAAAAGAGACCTACTGCCATACTGTTTCTTAAAATCTGAGTTTAAGGAAACTGGTAAATTTGATGAAATCAGTAGGGATGAAATTTTTAAAATGTTATTTTCTATATGAAGCTGAACCACAGGTTAGCCCACAATGAGTAAATTCAAGGTTTAGAATTTTATTAATAAAGAAATAGTACAAAAATGCAAAGTGATTAATAACATACCAAGAAGATACACAATATAGATAAAAGGTTCCTATATATTTCTAGCAGTCTATCCAAAAATATTACTTGGTAACCTCTACAAAACATTAACTTGCTTCAGTGATTCAAGAGTCACTGTTCCAGAATCATAGTAGATGCTATGACAAGTTTTCTCCCCCAGTTTAAACATAAAGCAAAAGAACAGTTAGGCTACCTCTGTAGTTGAAGTAAGAAATGATAGCTTGTGCTAAGTGTTAAGTGAATGAGTGGGGTGAGACTGCCTGTGTTGCTCTTGATGTCTGGAACATAGTAAGCATGTAACCGATTAAAAACCCAACCCTGCCAAAAGAAATAAAATGGGAAGCAATCACCACCAATAATTCCTATAATAAATGAGGGGAAAAAATCAGATAGAGAAATTAAAATATCAGTTTTGTCAATATGATCATCCCACCTTAAATCAGAATATAAGACATAAAAAAGTTGCACTGAAAACCAATACCTTGAGATGAGAAACAGATGTAGAACTGTGCTGCAGAAGCTATTTAATAAGTATGACTAATATAGAATAAATATTTAATAAGCAACTTGAAATCTGCAAATTGACATACACAGTATTTCTTAAAAGTATCTTAATTTTTAAAATCCTACTATGTATAACAATGCATATTTTCTTGTTTTCATACTCCAGGTCTACTATTCCCATTAAAGAAACAGTCAAACTCAGTTTAGCTAGAGTAAAATGTTATGTGTTAAATATGTAAACCTCAGTATGAGGAGAGTGAAAACTAATAATTTAAGAATTAAAACTCTTGCTATAAATAATATTCCTCATAGACTGGGGGGGGGGAAGGATCAAAATTAGCAGGCATATGGTGAGACCAGAAAAGGGAAAGTGAGTTAACAATGCTAATTTAAAAGCCAGTCATTTTAATTTTATTTAAAATGAAAATTTTCAACTAGAATGTAAATGAATTAAATTTTACATCAAAGTAAAAAAAAAAAATCAATAGCTAAAACTAGGGAAGCTAGAAATAGCGGCACATATCTGTAATCCCAGCAATAAAGGAGGCTGAAGTAGGAGGACCATGAGTTTGAGGCCGGCACAGAAAGAACACATGATTTCATTCATGTAGATGTAAAAAAGTGGATCTCACAGAAGTTGTGAGTAGACTCCTGATGCCCAAAGACTGGGAGAAGCAGGAGGGAAAGGGTGAGGGGCTGGTAAACGGGTGCAATGCTAATGTGAGATAGGAAGAGTAAGTTCTGGTGTTCTGGCAGAGGGTGAATGTAACTAACAAAAATCCAAAATAGATCTCAAACTAGAAGATGGGATTCACAATATTCAAGTGATGAATATTTTTTTTTAATATTCAGGTGATGAATTTTGTTTTAATTAAAAAGAAAACACACTAGGAGAAAAAAATTTTAAACACTTCAAAAGATACTTAAAAACTTTTTCTTAGGGATCGGGGTGCCCTGGGTTCAATACCCAGTACCACCAAGAAAAAATAAAACCTTTTCTTTAAAATAACTAATGAGTGTCTCAGTGTATCCTCCATTAACAATAGTTTACAAAGCTGAATTACTCAAAAGAGACTATTCCCAACAACTTTACTCATAGCCTTTCAAAACAACAATTACTTTTCTTACATTAAGGAAGATGCACACTACTTCTCTTCACAGACTTCTGATTTTGCTACTGCCATTAATTTCTAATTGTCTAGTCAATTAAAATCTTAAGAAAAAACCAAAAATGAATAGTGTTTTCAAATAATTTTTATCCCCAATTCTAAAATTTACCATTTTCTTCTCCTGATGTTTTTCGTTTATCTTCTGGTGAAACATGGACCAGCTGCAGAATGAGAGGTCTCCGAGTGACAATACCAGTACCTCTGGGAAGCAGGTCCCTCCCCACTAGGCTTTCTAGCACTGAGCTCTTTCCACTGCTCTGAAAACAAAATACACGAGAGCAAAATAAGTCTCTTAACAAATTTTTTGTTAATAGACTATACTAGCAAAGCAGCATACAAAGAAGTTATTTTAAAGGAAAAATTAGTACAGACTTTCTGACTTTTAAGTGAAATTCAATTATATTTTCTATCACGACATCTTCACTTCCTTAAACACACACACACACACACACACACACACAAACACACCACAGGGACCAGAGGCTCATGCCTGTAATCCTAGCTACACGGGAGGCAGAAGAGATCAGGAAGATGGAGGTTCAAAGCTAGCCCAGGCAAATAGTTCGCAAGACCCTATCTCAAAAACACTTAACAAACACAGGGCTGGAGGAGTGGCTCAAGCAGTACAGTGCCTGCCTAGCAAACTTGAGCCCTTGAATTCAAACCCCAGTACTGCCAAAAAAGAAATTTTTTTAAATAAAAAAACAGAGAAAATAAAAGCCTATTCAAAAACAAAATAATTGGCTAGAGGTGTGGCTGAAGCAATAGAGTTCCTGTCTAGCAAGTGCAAAGCCCTGAGTTCAAACCCCAGTGCCACCAAAAAATAAATAAAATAAAATATGAAATAAAGTAACAGCTCCACTCTCCCATAATTTTTCCTATCTTTTTGATACTCCCACAACCATATTTCACAACCTACACAATATTGGCATATATAAAATCATGTCTATAATATGCAGTTATATTACTTTAAATGGGGCAGTAATATATATTTTTCTCTAACTTGCTTTTATTTTTTAATATAAGGATCAGGGACACAGTTCTATTTCAATATATTAACAACTTCTATGTTTAACAGTTAAACAGTATCTACTGAGTGTGAAACTAAACCCCAAAGGGGGAACATTTAAATGTTTTGCTATTATTGAAAATGCTGCAATGAACATGCTTGTACGCATGACCATACATATTTATTACCTCATTGGACTTAGTTCATTGAAATTACTATAATTAAAAAGCACACTGCCAGATTACATACCACAAGATGGCACCAAGCTATCCTTCCAACAGTTTGTTCAGTTTGCTGCATCCCAATTAACAAGTGGGCATTATCACTCTGTATCTCTGCTCCTATGATAGATGGACACTGACAAGTCATTTAAATTTGCATTGCCTTATTACTGAGGTCAAGCATCCTCTGGTTTAGGGCTTTCAGTTTTTCTCCTGTGATAATTTGCTTGTTCAAAGGCTAGTTTATTAGTTTATAATAAATATTAGTTTATAATAAAGCTTTTAATCCATAATGTTTATACTCCAGTTTTTGCTTTATTTCCCACTTTTTATTTTTTAATTTTAATGCTACCAGAAAGATACAAGAATAGTAATAGTGAATACTCATTTATCTTAACATGCATTCACATTTATTAACATTTGGACAATTTGCTTTTTTATGTCCCTCCTTACACATTTGAGAGGCAGTCACAGATATCATGACATTTTACCTCTACACACTGTGACATGTATCTCCTAGGAACAAGGGCATTCTTCTATATAACTACAATATAATGATCACACTCAGGAAATTTAACACAAATACTTATATTGAATATATGGTAAATAGGAAAGTAACATAAGCCTCTATTATTACCCTTTAAATGTATATGGCATCTAGTTATTTATTTTAAATTATTTCTGAAGTTGCCATTTTTTCCTAAACTTGGCAATATACTGTATTTTTCTATTTAGTATATATATTTTTCCTGTACTATATTTTTTTCTTAGTCAAACTAGTATATTATTTTAATATTTTCTGAATCTGGAGAACAGTGGTTCAAGGCCAGCCCAGGCAAAAAGTCTCAACCACAAGCTAGGCATGATATGTAGTGCATCTACATAAGTAAAAGAGTAAGTAGGGGGTCACAGTCCAGACCTGGGGCAGGGAGGAACATAAGACCCTACCTGAAAAATCATTAAAACAAAAAGGGCTGAGGCCATGACTCAAGCAGAGCACCTTCCTAGTGAACATGAGGCCCTGAGTTCAAACCACCGAAAAAAAATTGTCAATTTTTTTGATTTTCTAATGGATAGGCATAACTGCTAATAATATTCTTAGAATTTGATCTTTTTTCTTATTCCTAATATTTTATCATTATACTTTTTTTCTGGCCAGACTTTCTAATTAGTTGATTTTATAGATCAACTTTTTTAATGATTCTGCTATTTAATTTTTTATACTGTTAATTTCCTCTCCTGTTCCCCCCATCTAAAGTAAAAGGTTTATGTGTTCTTTTTACACTCCTTGAATTGAATGCTTAGTTTGTTTCTCTATCTCAGCTACCAACACTTGAAACCCCCCACCTACCCCACACACAAACACACATACCCCAACCAGGCCTCTATCTTCTTTCTTCCACACCAAGAATTGTGGTTTTCAGTGACACAGTTCATAACAGAATTAGAATAACACAATGACTTATTTATTTTACATTACACAACTTCTTGAAATAATACTGCCACCACCACCACCGCCACAATTACTGAAAGTAACTTTTTTTAACATTTTGCGTATGATCTCTCTGTCTTCCTCCCCTTTTACAGACCACACTTTCTCCTTTTGAGCCCTCCTTTGGTCTTAACCTATGTACAGTGCAAGTCACCAAACCTTTTATGTTTTGGGGTTTTTTTTGTTTGTGGTGTTGCAATCAAACAGGGCCTTACACATGCTAGGCAAGCAGTCTACTACTGAGGTACATGCTAGCTTCCATCAATCCTTTTATTAATGTGACTCTAGCCATATCAATTCTCTGAAGCTCATTTTCTAACAGGAACAATATCCTTCAAGTTCTAGCATATGGATAGCTGTAACTTTTATATTTAAAAATAAGTTTGGTTATACATAAAATCTTTGCCTCATACTTCTTGAGTATCTTAAATATGGAATTCCACGTCGTTTTCAATGTGCTCATGTTGAAACATATAACAAAAATCTGATTTTCCTGCATTTTATGACTTCTGTGTGTATGTCTCAAATATTTTTATTAGCCCTTCAAAGTCTAATCATTTTTCTAGACTGTGTTTCACTATTGGTCCTTCTATGTCAATGTTTTCAGATATGTATAGTGAGTGCTCCTCCAAAACATAGTTCCAAATCTTTTTGTTTTTTTTTTTTATTTTTCATTTTTTTGGATATTGTTGTACTGGGGATACACTGTGGCATTTACAAAAGTTCTTACAACATATCATGGGTGAATTTACCCTTTCTGTCATTCTTCTTTATGTCCCCTCCCCCCATTCCTGCAATAGTTTCTGCATGTCTCATTTTTTCATTTACATGCATGTGTACATAATACTTCTACCATATTCACCCTCTTTCATCCTTTCCTTATATCTTCCCCACTCCCACTGGTACCAATCAGTGTGACCTCATGCTTGCTAGGCAGGTGCTTTTGCACTTGAACCTTACTCCTAGTCCTTTTTGCTTTAGTTATTTTTCCAATAGGATTTTGCTTTTATGCCCAGGCTGACCTGGACCATGAAGCTATTTATACTTCCAATGTAGCTGGGATGACAGGCACATATCACCACACTCAGCTTTTTTATTGGTTGGGATGGGTTCTCACTGTTTACTCAGGCTGGCCTTGAACCACAGTCCTCACACTCTGCCTCCCAAATAGCTCAGATTACAGAGGTGAACCACAGCTCCAGGCTTTAATATATTAGACTTTTAAGACAGGTTATTATGGACTGCATTGTGTCCCCTTAAAATTCACATCCTGAATCCCTACACCCAGTTACCTCAGAATATGACTATCTGGAGTCAGGGCCTCTGATGGGGTGATTAAGTTAAAACAAAGTTATCAAGGTAGGACCTAATACATTCTAACATAGTTATCCTTATATCTTCTTTATCCTTTGGATAAAGAAGTCACCAGAGAAAAAAATCCGTGAGGATAAAGTAAGAAGGCAGCTATCTACAAGCCAAGGAGAAAGGCCTCTGAAAAAAGCAAACCTGCTGCTCTTGGACTTCCAACTTCCAGAACAGTGAAAAAATAAACATCTGTCCATTTAAGCCACCTAGTCCGTAGCATTTTGTTACTGCAGCCAGCAAATTAATATAGATATGACAAACTCAGTTACCCACACAGATGATGAATGTAAATCAACCCAAATTTTGGTCAGAATGTCAATAATACCTCAATTTTTTTAGCAGTACTGGGATTTGAACTCAGGGCCTCAGGATTGCTAGGCAGGTGCTCTACCGCTTAAGCCACTCTGCCAGCCCTCAAAGTGATTTTTTAAAATGCCACCAGATTGTATTCTTCTGATATTTTGTTTGCACATTAAAAAAAATAAGAGGGCTAAGGATGTAGCTCAGTGGTAGAGCACTGGCCTAGCACGCACAGGCCCTTGGATCAATTCCCAGCAACACACACATATACATACATGTATGTATGTAAATATATATTTACATACATATTTAGATATTTAGGAATATATTTACTTACATGTATATTTAGGAAATATTTCTGACATCTGTCCTGAAACTGCTCTCATTTTTCTTTTTCTTTTTTTTTTTTCATTGTTGTACTGGGGGTACATTGTGGCATTTACAAAAGTTCTTACAATATGCTCTCATTTTTCTTAAAGTGAGAGCATACTTTAATCGTAGTAATTACTAACATTTTTTGCTCATACTATGTAATCATTCTAGTGATTAACATCATTGAAGTAGAACTCTTTTATAATATAGTTTTATAACTATCCTTTATAAGATATAGTTGCTATTTATTCTCATTTTATAGATGAACTTAGTGAATTTTAGTAAAATTACAGGTGTGTATGCCTATAATCTCAGTGCTTGGGAGGCTGAGGAAAGAGGATGAAAGTTTGAGGTCAGGATGGACTACATAGCAAGACCCTGTCTCAAAAAAAAAAAAAAATATATATATATATATATATAAAACTTGCCAAGTTATACTTAGGTAATGAGCAATAGGGCTAAATTGTAACCCAGGTATTTTTAACCTTTGCACCTTTT